CAACCTTGGACAACACCCTTGCACTTTGCCCCTTTCTAAAGTGGGACTTGACCTCCAGCCTTTGCCCCAGGCAGCCCTTCCACAGAGAGCTCCCTCTCCTCCCCAGCACCCCAACTTCCTCATGTCCAAATCCTTCCTGTGCTTCAGCTTCAAGTGCCACATTCTCTGTGATGCCGGCCCCGCTCTGCAGCCCTCTGTGCTTGGCCCTCAGAAGTTAAGGACTCACATCATGGAATCCCCTTATGGCCGTGTACTATTTCAGTCTCCTGTGGATTTGATTGTACTAAGTTCCTCCAAGGGCTTCTCTAAACACTCACAATAAAATGGAAACTGACTTCCCTCCTCCAGGTCCTGCCTGCTGTGGCCCAGACCCCTCTTTCCTGCCTCATCGCCAGCCACCCCCTTGCTCTGTACCAGCCACAGTGGCCTCCTTGCTACTCCTCAGCTTGTTCCAGCATCTGGACCTTTGCCCATGCTGTTCCCTCTATGTGTGGAACCATTTTGTGCCTGGCTCCTTCTCATCCTTCCAGATCTGTCAAATGTCACCTCCTCTGAGAGGCCCTCCCTGATACCCTGTCTATAACATCACACCCACCGCAGACCATTCATCATTCTCCTCCTCCCTTTTTCCTGCTTCATGTTCCTTCTGAGCATTTATTACTCCCTGAAACTATATTGTAGATTCCATTCCTTTATTACCAGAAAATCAGCTCCATGAGGTCCAGGACTTCATCTTGTTTATTGCTTTGTCCCCAGTGCCTAGCACAGGGGCTGGCATCAGGGAGATGCTGGTAAATATTTGTAGAAAAAGTAAATGAATAACTGGAAGAAACACATCTCTCTCCTGATATAAAGCTGATTGCATCTTGCTGTCTTACACAGAGAAATTATTTTTAAAGTATGTTGAGTAAATGAATGAAATGCATTCCTGTCTCCCCAATTGTAGAAGATGCTAATATCTGATGAATGAATGAATGAATGATTGACTCTTAGTGTGTGTGCACCTCCCCTCCCCACCTTGTAAAAGGTGTCAGAAAGAAAAAAGAAAAGAGGGAAGAAGAGAGAGCAACAGTGGGGACCTGCACACACTGGGGGTGTCCTCTTGTTTCCACCTCCTGTGCCCCCCACAGGCCTCCCTCCCACCAGCCCCTCCCTCCGCATCCCTGCGGGCTGCCAGGAGCCCTGGAACTGCCTGAGGAGCCAGGGGACCGCTCCCGCTGCACGCGGGGAAGTCATAAGCTCCAGGAAATGAAGGCTCCGGAGCAGCGCCTCCTCCTCACCCATAACTCCAGCCTCGTTACGACCAGCCCGGGCCGCGGTTATGTGCAGAATCAAAGCCAAATCCCCAGAGGCAGCAGCACCGCTCCGGGATTGCGATAGGGGCTACCAA